TTTTTTCTTTTCTGAGGCAGAGAAATTGGCAATTTTCCAGCTTTAATTGTTCTTGATAAGTTGCCAAAGTATCTATTTAGCCTTCAGGAAACGAGGGTACGTTTAACACCATTTAAAGTGCCTCTTCATGGTTAGCTATTTCAGAAAACTCAGCTTCCTTTGCTGTATTTCCTAGAACAGGATTTCTATTAAATAAATTGAAGATACCGTTCAAAACTATTCCACTGCAATTGTTGCAATTTACCTAGTTTGAAAAAATAGTGTTTCATGTTTGTTGGTAGTTATTACCCATTGTGATCTGCAGTTTGCTTACATGTCCTTATTCATAGTAGGTTAATTTAAGGCAGTGGGCAAGGGCAAGGGCAAAGATGTTGGAATATGCTCTGTTCAACTGAGGAGGGTCTAGATATGCTTACTTTATCTTTCACCAATGGTTGATGCATTCCAAGTCTTCTTGCAAAATATGTGTGAATATCAAAAATGATTAATTATCATTGCATGCAATTTAAGACTCATGTAAGCCCTGAACTCTCATTTGTCATCTCAATTCTCTTTTTTGACTTTCTGTATGATGTAGGGATATTTCAAAGTGTACTTTGACCATCTCTTTTTGTAAGGTGGAATCTATGCTTATTTTCTTTCTGATTATGCGGGTACACGACAAGTAAATTGATACACACAGAATAATTCTGATTCAGGGAGACAGAGGCTGTGGAGACCCTTATAAATGTTGGCTCCTTTATATGCCAACAGTTTGACTTAGTGTTTAAGAACTTGGACTCTGGAGCCAGACTGCTTAGGCATGAATGTAGGCCCTGCCATTTATTAGCTAAATGACCTGGGCAAGTTACTTATCGTCTGTGTGCCTCAGTTTCTTCATTTGTAAAGTGGGGCAATGATAGTAACATAGAATTAGCTTGAGAATGAGATGAGATTATATATAAAGTAGTTAGAATGGAACCTGGTATGTAGTATTTTATAAGTAGAAGCTAAGTAAATGTTTAAAGGCAATGTAAAACCTATTATGCCAGTCCTACAAAATTTTTATTTCTCCAGAGAAATTTACCATCAGATGATTTTTTTATGGGCACATATTGACTTAGTTATTTCCTGTGCTCAGCTTCCTGGCTGGTATTTAAGGACTCTACTGCTATCTCTTATGCCAAAAGACACCTTTGAGTATGAAGAAATGGAAGAATTAAAATCTTATACAAAGTTCATATTACAACTAACTCCTCCACATAATTTATTTAACAAACATTTATATAGCACTTACTATGTGCCATGCACTGTTTTAAACACTATATAAATATTAACTCATTTAATCTTCATTATAACATGAGAATACTTGTTGAATTTCAATTAAATGATGTGGGAAAATCCTCTAGCCCAGCGTCTGACATGGTAATCCTCTAATAAATATTTGTTGAAGGAATGAATACCTGTGAGTGACTCAATCAATCAGCCTATCTTGTTTGGCTATCAGAAAAAGCAAACAATACATCAGGATGTTATATTAAATGGCCTGATGTGTTCTCAGAAACTGGAAACAATTGAGTCTTCCACAGCTGTATTCAAATTTGTAATAAAGGGACTAAAGTGGCCTGAATGTTCCTTTCCCTTTCTCAATATTAAATCACTTATTATTTTAATATTAAGCTTAGATGCTTAGATGTCTTAGAACTGATAAAGTCTTTGTTGATTTGCAGAATGTTACATTCAACCTGTATTGAATATCTGAGTATATCATTCTAAATTTCCATTTTTATCTTTATTTTGGACTTTGAGCAGAAAATATTATGGTCCTGTTTAAGACATTAAGATTTGCCATTTTTTTCTCACTCTTTCAATTGCATCGTTTATTTTTGTTCTAATCTGGGGAAACATATTTGCATCATATTTCTTAGTCTGTCCCTGCCCTGAGAAGATTAGCTAATAAGGACTTAATGTTTTATAATGCCTTATCATAATAAAAAATACCTACCTATTAAGCTTGAGGAATAAATTACTTTAAAAATATATCAGACCTATTCAGGCACCATTTGGGAACACTTGAGAGGTAAATGCCAGTTTTTTATGAAGCTACAATAAATGTTTTTATTCAACATGTGATTGCTCCAATCAATTATGGATTCTTTTTATAGTCACAAAATTAGTTGCATTTAGCCTTAAATTCTACTTGTTGAAACACAGTTAACATGATAGACAAGAACCAATGTAATAGCAACCTAACACTTAACAGTCTCTGTGTCTGTCTCTGTTATAGTCGCTTCTTCTCTTGCTAACAATTGAAATATTGCCTCTTTCTAACTATGACAAGCATCTGGTGAAGTGGAATTTAGTATATTTTTGTGGAACTATTGAGATGTGGCAACTGAAGGGCACTACTTGAAAAAGTGTGGGTAAACTTCCATGAGGAGCTTATGTCTCTTTGGTGGTTATGGAGAGGTGAAGAGGAAAGATCAAATCTGCAGCCTTTTATCTCTGAGATTAAACATTACTGATGCTGGGATAGACATGGGTGATTGTGGGTAAATCTTGGGTTCAGGGAAGTCTACAAATCTTCTACAGTTACAATGTTAGTAAAAATAACAGTTGAGGAGTGGGACTGGCCTGTGCCTTATCTGGTGGTCAGAGGGGTAAGGTGGGTTGAAATTCTTGAATTGACAGTCAGTAAAAGCTGTCCCGACCCAGCTAAGTGGCCTGAAGGCTTGAAGCTTGGGGAAGTGTCTGTTTGAATGACTTTAAAAAAATTCTAATCCAACTTTGATACTCTTGTTTGGGTATAGATCTGTAACAGAGGAGGAAGGGCAGTCTCCTCACTGCGTGTTGAAGGTTTATTGATGGGGCGAAGGGCAGAGTGCTGAGAAGAGGATGTTATTAGAAAGTCTAGATTTCGGCTGTGAACCGAAGCTTCGTGTTCTGGCAGTAGTGGCAGTGGGCAGCCCTCAGACAGGAGTACGAGGTTTCTGATAGGGGTTGTGGCACCTCTCAGCTTTAAGTGGGAATTCACATTTGAAATCTGTTTCCAGAGATAAGAGGTACAAACTGGCGGTCCTGGGTACCAGTAAGTGTTTAGAGGATTTCTGGACATGTCAGGATGGTGGTGTGGAGCAGGCTGCCCAGAGGAAGGATATTTGACTTGTTTATTTGGCTATCAGCTTGTCTCTGTAGGTATTTAATAAAAATGTAGGTGGCTCAACAAATGTTTGTGTAAAAAATATCGAATGAAAGTAGGAACTTGAGTATTATGCTTTAAACACCATTGAGGGGCTCATTATTCACGTGCCAATCTGTGAAGAAGGACCTTCAAGTTTCAGTTTACCCATTTGTATTAATATATCCACTCTTGCACATATGTATTCAAATGTCCTATCAATCCTCATCTGCCCTTTTCTGCCCCTTTTGCCTCCTCTCACGACGATATCTGCCCCTCCAATCATGGGGTCAGCACACTGGCCTCTGCCCCTCACGCCTGTCACACCAGATTGATCCCCTCAGCCACCCTGAACTTGCCTTGTGATGAGTCACCCTAAAGTTCTTCTCATGCCATTTCTCTTATCTGCTCGTTCTCAGCTTTTCCTTTTTGTCTCTGGAAGTACTTCCCATCCTTTAAGGTTGAATGCCACTTCTTTGGCTACTTTTCCCAAACTTTTGCTCTTTCTCTAAACTTCCGTCTGCTTTAATAGATTGAAAACTTATTAAGGGTAAGGCCACATCTTTGTTTTCTTCTTTGTTATCTTCTATTTATTGCACCACACTCTGGTGATGTGTGACTATAAACCAGGTACTTTCGAAAATCCTGGTTTTCACAAAAAGCAAAAGCTTGTTTAATCTGCTTTTTATTCTCTAAACAAACTTAATCACTCCTCACAAATTACAGATTACTTCAGACAAAATCTTTTTTTTTTAAATGGAATCAAGAGCCCCCTTTGTGTTGTTTTATATTTATCCCCTTGAAACTCTCCTTGACTGTAATCATGGCAGAAGATTTCAAATAGTTGGAAGTTTTCTCTGGTGGACAAAGGTGCTGAGATTAGATGTCCCAAATCAAAACTTCAGTCATCAAGGCCATTATCTGAATAAATTTTCTACTAAGTTACTGAAGAATGCCTAAAGTCTTCTAATTACTATACACTGTGTGTATCAAAACATCACTATATATCCTATGAATATGTACAATTTTATTTGTCAATTAAAAAATAAAATAAAATAAAATTTAAAAATACAAACAAGTTTTCTGAAAGATTTTAAATTAAAGCACATCTGGTTATACAGATAGATCATTATACACTACAGTGCTCAAATTTATGATTATATTAATAGTGAAATAATTCCTTTCGTAGTATATTTTAAGCTCCCTGGAACCTTAATGTCAAGCTTATTGTTAGACACACATAATCGTTTCTCGATAAATATTTGATAGAAAATTAATATATTTTAATATGAATTTTTGAGTGAGTTATTTCCATTTTTGGTATCCTGTTCTGATTTATAATTGAACCCCTGAATCTGGATTATTTTGGCACATTGCAAAGTACAAAATAATTCAATGGAAAATTCCATGTTTATTTATGACCAAATCTGAACCTCTTTGAGGTTAATAGCAGTGCCTTTGTCTTTACAGAGATTCGCAGAGATTATAGTTTTTTTCTTAAATTTATAATAGTCCATTATTATAATTGTATCTTAGCACATACTGACAAACATGTACATCAGCATTGTTATCTTGTCTTTTTTGCATTTTAATTTTTCTTTCTCCTTCTTAACAGACTTCTTTCTCAAAGCTATTCACAGATATTTAAATTAAATTAGTATTCTTTAGGTTACATATGGCATGATTTAATATTCTCGCTGGATAAATGGTTGATGATTATTTTTATAGTTGCATTATGGACTTTGGCTTTATTCAAAGAATACATAATTTAAATTCTGACAAGCTTTTAAAACATTTTCTCTTAAGCAATGCCTACAAATTAGTTCTTTCCTTCCCTTCTTAGACTGGGGCTGTGACTGAGATGTCAGATCGGGGGAGAGGATCATAAATTTCTGTTATATCTGGATCCAGATCAACAGGAGGATCTATGAGTAAGTAGAAGCACAGTTATGAATGGATTCCAGAGCCTGCTGGTATAGGTTTGAGGCTACGAATTTTGTAAGTTTGGCTTTTCATCTGCTGTCACCTAGCATGATATCATAAGTGGCATATGAAACTAAATATTTAGTCTTATAAGAAAGGCTATGTTGACCTGACCCTTTCTCTAAATAAATTGACAAAACATCTCATTCTCTAGGATGCTAGAAAAAAATACCAGTTGGAGTGTTTTGCTGCATAAATTATATTCTAGTTTAAATTAGTAGCATAGAAAGTTATAATCTTGCTTGAACAAAAGTCTTATTGAACTGAGCATGCCCCTATGCTACAAAATGAAATTAAATTTTTTAGAGAGTTATATTTTTCATTTGGAAATTTACTGAGTTAATATAAAACAAGTTACACAGCCTTCTAAAGAATATATTACGTGCTTTTGGATTTTGTTTCTTCTTTGGCATTGGTTTTCAGAAAATCCTGCAAGTTAAATATATTAAAGTAGAAATTGAAAGAAAATAATCAGACAGCAGATAAAGAGTTCTTTAAATAAATGTTCACTGCAGTATTGTTTATATAAAAAATTCAAAATGACCCAAGTCCTCAAAAATAAAGATACTATTATAAAACTGCTACCTTTCCATTAATGGCCTATTAGATAGACTTTAAAAATATTTTTAAAGATGTTTTAAAAGCATAAGACATTTTCCCTAATCTAAGAGAAAACAAAACACATCAACTACCTCCTAGAAAACTAACTGTATATACAATATAATTTTTGTTTGTAAAGATAAGCAAGTGAGTGACCATAAGGCAATATATCAAAGTGGTAATATAATACCTTCTATCACATATTGATTGAGTTCTTTCTATGTGTTAAGTTCTCATTATACTCCAAGCTCTGGGCTAAGCACTTGGAGGGCCTTATCGCATTTAATCCTCACAGCAGCATAATGAGATTGTTCTGGGCAACCCAGAAAAAAATCACACTGTCATGGACTGATTCCCTGGGTGAATATTTTCAGATCATTTTGAATTTGAAAATCATAGGCAAACAAATTGAAGGCATGTCAATTATGTATTGGAAGGAATTAAATATGCAAATTAATATGCAAATGAACACAACAGATTTTAAGAGTATGTTTCTTTGGAGGTGATGCAATAACAACTGTTGTTGAAACTGTCTCCTGAAGTGGAAATTGAACTAGTAGCTTAGTTGACATTAAAATACCTAACAGTGATTGGCTCCCTCTGTACCCCTGGGTAGAGTACCTGTCTCTTAACACCTTAAGGCTGCCACAAAATAAACTGCATTGCCCCAACTGAATGGAGCAGCCTCTCTGATAGAACTTGAGTTTCAGTCGTGGTGATTTTTCCTTAGCTACTCCAAGAAGAAGGACATTCTTTCTTGAAGATGAACTGAAAGTCCTAAAATGTTCAGAGGCCACAGTTCTCTAGGCTCTCCCTTTGCCATGCTTCTCTATTCACTCTAGCCCAGGCAACAAAGTGAGCTCTGTCTCAAAAAAAGGAAAAAAAAATTTCTCTGTGTTTTCCTAAATATTAGATTATGATATTTTTCTTATAATTAAGCAGTAAATGTTATGAAAATAAAAATAAAATATTTTTATGTAAGCTGAAGAAGTGAGAAAAGAGATTTTTCCTATTAATGAGAAACATGTTCTAGCTCCTCTTTTCCATGTTGGACAGTTTGCTGTCATTGCACCTTCCATCTGATGCAGAAATGACGCGATGGCAGACTGAAACAATGTGTGCTACCGCCTGAAAATATCTACCTTAAATTGCAGTTTCATTAATGCCTGTGTGATCAGAATGTGCAAAATTCACATATATTATAATTAATCTAATTTGAGTGCTAATTCTTAATAAAAACACAAAACAATAACAAATTAAGGAAACATATCTTAATACTCACCACTTGATATTTTTCAAGTTGCAAACAGGATTTTGCTTACTTGTAGAAACTTGAATATATACAAATCTGCATATACTCCTTAGTCTTCTTTCAGCTAGGTGTGCTACTCCCCTTGGAAGGCAAACAAAAGTTTGGGAATATTATTTTTATTCATGAAGTTGCTCTCTTTAGATTTCTGTGGAAAAGAACTGTTGGGCAGATGAGTAGAATATGCTACTCCTGTTCTGACATGTTTGCCCATCAAAACTAGCATATACAGAACACTTTAATGACCCTTCAACAGTTAAAACTGACACTGACATTAACAAAAAGGATTTGGGACAAAGAACTGTGTTCATGCTGCAAATCAGCCTCAAGCTTCACCACAAGCTGTACGGATTCCATTTTATGCTACTGTATTCTGCTTAAGCACATATTTGAATCTATGCAAATGGAATGCTCCTTTAATACTTAAGAACTTTATTCTAGGCAGGGGAAGGGAGAATTAGAACTATAGTGTTTTGGTAGGCAAGCTCTTGGACAGGGAAAACTATGTGGCTTGATAATTTAAGACCTAAAAGTCAACCAGTAACTACTAAAATTCTTCAGTATCTGTTGAAATATCTCTTACGTAAGCCATGTTCCTAAATGAAATAGCCCAAAGACACCTCAAAAGCATGTAAATTTAAAACATTCATTTGATTCTGCTATGGTTTGAATGCATGCGTCCCTTTAAAATTCCTGTGTTGAAACTTAAACCCCAAGGTGATGGTATTAAGGGGTGGGGCATTTGGGAAGTAATTAGGCCAAGAGGGCTTTGTTCTCATGAATGAGATTAATGCCCTTATAGAAGAGAATTCAGAGAGCTACCTGGCCCTTCTCTTCTGCCATGTGAGGACAGAGAGTTCGTTCCTTTTTGCCCTAACACATTCTGGCATTTTAGATGCAATAACAAGGTACCATTTTGGAAGCAGAAAGAGCTGGTTCTCACCAGATGCTGAATCTGTGAGTCAGTACCTTGATCTTGGATTTCCCAGCCTCCGGGACTGTGAAAAATAATTTTCTATTATTTATAAATGACCCAGTCACAGGTATTATATTTTGTTAAAGCAGCACAAATGGATTGAGATAGATGCTGACTGTTATGTACAACTTTAAGTACTTTGTAAAAAAAAGTCCTAAATGTAGAAATGGAGTGGTATTCAGAGATACTACTAACTTAGCCTGTTTCCTAGGAAAGATTAAATGACTGAAAATTCAAATGGAGCTCCTATTGGTAGCCTGTTTTTGTTTGGGTCCTACAATATAGGAAGTTTATCGTTAGAGAATGTCTGAGGGTATGGTTCTGGGGAGATTGGGTGTTTACAGCTGTTGTGAAATCCTGCCATAAATCAACAACTTTTAAAATTAAAAGAATTCCTCTTAAACTGTTAGTTCTGGAGAAATAGCAAAATACTCAGATTTGAGAATTTTGTACCATTGCCTAATAGTTTTAGAGCAATAACTAGAAGATAATTAGCCTAACAGCCCTATCAGTGATATTATATTTGGTGTGATAAATATCAATATTTATCTGCATGGTTTAAGTTCCTTTGTGTGGATCTTTGCTGTCTACCAAATTGAGGCAACCCTGGGTATTTGGATGACTGTCTTGACTTTTAGGAGAAGGCTTCGCTGTGATTCACCTGTGATTGATAGGATGAAGCAGGGACCCCCCCTTAGGAGCCTGCCAGACCCCTCAAGCACTGAAATAAAGGAGAATTTTGAGTCCCTTCAGGGGAAGTTCTAGGCACATAGCTAGCCTTGAAAAGTGAATGATATTTAACAGTGGCCTTCCAACCAAGCTGGAGTCAAAAGGTGTTTTTATTCCTTCTGGAAACTAAAAAAATGCCATCTTAGCATATGTTCATGAATTATTTTTGAGAGCTCCCCACCAGATGGAAAATGCAGATAAGGAGGGACTGAGGAAATAGACTGTGATCACCGTTCTTTGTTCTAAATTTCTCTCTGAGGGGCTTGGAAAAAGTCACACCCATATAATATTCATTTCTGCTAATCCAAGAATCCCTGAATCCATCTATGATCCATAGACACCCTACATAGAAATATCTTGCCTTTGCGGGCCAGGCCAATATATAACTTCCACATATTGATTTACAATTTGCCTGCAGCTTCTGCTTTCCTGAAATGTACCCCTGCCTTTGAAAATCCTTGCTTGAAAGCCATCTGTGAGTTTGGGCCTTAAGTATTAGCTGGCTATTCTCCTTGTTTGGCATATATAATAAAAACGTCTCTTTCTTCCACTGCAATTCTTGGCCTCAGTGTGTGGCTTTGCTGTGCTGGGTAAGTGGACCCCCATTTGGTTCTGTAACAACCACAAGAATATCGGTTGTTTCTGTGGCCTTAGTATCCCAGAAAAAAGTGAATGAAATAACTAAAGAGAAAACTCCTAGGTGATTACTTCTAGATATTATTTAATGTTGATAAGTAGAATATTTCATGGTGATTTTAACAGACCAAGGAGAGGACATTTTTTGTTTATGAATACAACCTTAAAATTCTACTAAAGCAAGAGCGGGATAAAAATCCTTCCACTGACACAGCTTATAGTGAATAAGGGGTATAATATATAGAAAATGAAAACAAAGGCTCACAGTGGAGATTATGCAGAGCTGAGAGAAATTTTCTTGGGTAATAAATATTTGCAGCCAGGATTTTCTAGGGTGTTTTGGAAGAAAATGACTGCCGCAGAAATGCAGTTGGTGAAGACCATGTTGAAATTATGAATTTTGTCATTTGGAAGAAAGAGACCAAAAATTACTGCTGAATTGTATTGAAAACATTGATTAAAAAAGTGATCATTCCAATAGATATTTATGGACAATATTATCAGTGTCAAATGCAGACGAGGTCAGTAGACAAGGTCAGATGAAAAAGAATTAGATGTCTAACCAAATCTGGACCAAATTGAGTCAGTTCCTTGGCTTCACTGATTCCCCAGGAGGGAGGAGCTGGGTGCCAATCCCAGGGCCAGGCTAACGTACTGTAGGCAAGCAAGCAGAGGGTGAGTGTGTTTGAAGGTGACTG